TCCTACAAGCAAACCAGGAGGAGCCAATTTAGCTGTTACTGCAACCAATCCAGTCTGGCATTCTGATTTTAAAGGATACTGGGTTTGCCTTACCAGTACAGATCCCACATTAGGGGTAATACCTACAGGTTCTGCCCTCTTCCACTCTCCTGCAATTCCACTGGCCCACACCATAGGAACAACTGCAGCTGCCACTTCAGTGGGGACCTTGCTGCTGACAGGAGTTATTATCCCTCTGTAAACAACGAACTGCTTCAATACAAACAATCCAGTGGACAGTACAACCCCTTGGCACTTTCAGTGGAACCAGTGCAAGTCAGTTGCTAAGTTACACAAGGTTTTCTTCTAAAGTTGTAATTAAGATATCAAAAAAACAACAACTGTGAGACAAGAGATCCTCCCCAATGGTTCTACTCTTAGGGAAAAAAATCCAAACTCCCATCCCCAGTGCTGCAATAGCTCAGCTCCCACAAAGGCCCAGGGGCTGGGCTGGGGCTTTTGGCTGCCCTGGAGCACAGGCAGGAACACGATGTCACCACCCCACGGGCACAGCTGAGAACCCAAAGAGCAGCCACACCAGCAGCTCCTGCCAGCCCTGCTGGGCTGGGCCTTGGGGAGGAAGGGCACTGGCCTTTCTTCCTGTCTAGGAGCAAAGAGCCTCCTTGCTGAGCACTTCTCCTGCCAAGGGCATCAGCTCAGATGGGAAGTTCATCCAGTGCAACTTCCTGCACTGAGCAAGATCCCTGTTTTCTGGACAATCTCTATCCAAATGAATTCAGAAGCACACACTAGAAGTTCAGGTGTTACCTAAAATTTCTTAGAAAAACATCTGAGACTCAACTGGTGAGTTTTATAAGCCAGGCAATATTGTATTAATATGCTCTTGAATCATTCCAGCCCACCAGAGGCCCTGGCAATCAGATCCCAAAGGGCACACAGACCTATCTCCACTGCAGCTGATATGGCAGCATTACAGGAGGATTCATTTTCCTTCCCTGCATTCCTATTCCATACTCAGGACATTCTCCAACACTTATCACCATACACACCTACCCTTAGAAAGTTTCCAAGGGGCTTCACCGAAGGCCTTCCCAGGTCTGCGCTGTCTGAACTCTCCAAGTCCTCAGTGCCTGCCTGAGGAACCTCAAGACAACTCACCTGCTTACACAGCAACTTGGTGCTGCTTGGCTGCTGCCTCACTTCCCT